TATTCCCTTGCTTTAGAGTTTTACCACCCACGTCTGCTGCCGTAGATACTATGTTTTTTAGTTTTATCCATTATTAACCTTGATAAAAATGGAATTGGACTGTTTGCTTCTGGGAGTTGCTTCTTTTATTGAATGTGATGTATGTGAGATTTACCCATGTTGGTGTAGGTAACTGTATTTTGTTCACTTTTACTGCTTGTATTATTCCATTACACGAATATTCTACAATCTGTTTATCCAATGTACTGTTTGTGGGTATTTGGGCTGTATCTAGCTATTTACTGTTATGAGCTTTCTTATAAAACTATCCCAATGCACTCTTGTAAGACTTTCTCTAGGACAATGGTCTTCAAACTTATTTTGCTTGTGTACTTGCTAACAGCATTTTAAAAATCTAGGTGCTTTCTTGAATTTTAAATTGAACTTCGGTTACTGAACTAAAGTGGGGTTTGACTGCCCACCGACCAACACAGGCATAAAACAAAAATTGGTAGGGATGGAATATGGTCTTCACTAACACGTTGCACAACTTAGGGTGGCTACCCCCAGAACCAGAAAGTGTCCTGAAAGCCCTGCTCCATCCTTCTCTGTCCTTCTGGAGTGTGAGGCTGCTAAGCAGACAGCTCTGCAGCTTCAGGCTCCCTCCCTGGAGTGCGAACTTGTGGGGCCGCTGCACAATCATCATGCGGCTGCTGCCAAATGGACTCTGTCCCTGGGGCCCCGCGCCAGAGGCCGCTCACACCCCCTGGTCCGGTGAGCATTACAGCCCAGCATCTGAGCGCAGATCTCAGAGCCAGGGAACAGCATGGTCCAGGGCGTGGAACTCGCCTTGGTGCTCACTGGCCCAAGGCCTAGCCTGAGAGGGTCAAAGAGTAGGGGCGCGTGTCCCCTGCCCTTTGTTTAAGTTTCCTAGCCCCAAATTCCATGCGCTCTGGAAGCGACCAGTTTCCTAACCAATCCCATAGGCTAGACTGTCTGCTCCTCCCTGTGTTGCTGTGCTAACCTCCAAGGTCCCTGTGTTGCTGTGGCCTCTCCGCCGCGTGCAAACTCTGTACCAGATCGCCCCCTCTCTTGCGCAGCTCTAGCTCAGTTGCCAGGGCAACGCGACACTGCCCCAGTGGTATCTATCCTTTACCCTGAGGGTACGGACATCCATCCCACCCCACCCTGCGGGCCTCAGTCCTGCCATCTCCAGTGCTTCCTGCAACTGCTCCCCCCCTCGGGCACCACACCGCTATCACTTCTGAATATTTTTCATCACAAATGTTTGCAAAGAATGAAATTTCTAGCGCATTGTAGATGTTAGCCTTTAAAAAATAAATGGCTACTTCTTTTTAAAAATATAAGTAACATAGAAATTGGGTACTTATAAGCAATTTTGAAAAAAATATGAACAAGCTCATCATTTTACTTTGTCCCTCTTTCTGCCTGACTGCCCATTCACATACCCAACAGAATTGTATCTCTTTAAACACAGGTTTAGCCCTGGCTGGTGTGGCTCAGTGGATTGAGCACGGGCCTGCGAACCTAAGGATCGCGGTTCGATTCCCCGTCAGGGCACATGCCTGGGTTGCAGGCCAATTCCCAGCAGGGGCCAGTTCCCAACAGGGGATGCACCAGAAGCAACCATACATTGATATTTCTCTCCTTCTCTCATTCTCTTCCCCTCTAAAGATAAATAAATAAAAATTAAAAAAACAGATTTAAAATATATAATTTATCTTTTAAAGATACTTATTTTTAGAGAGGGGGAGGGGGGAAGAGAGGAAACATCAATGTGTGGTTGCCTCTCCTGCGCCCCCTACTGGGGGCCTGGCCTGCAGCCCAGGCACCTGTCCTGGCTGGGAATCGAAATGATGACCCTTTCGTGCCAAGGCTGGCACTCAATCCACACAGCCCCACCAGTCAGGGAAAAATTGTATCTTACTGTTATCGATTTTTATGCTGGAAAATCTTGATCACTCTCGCTTACATTTTTGTCACAAAAATATATATGAAAATTGGAAAAAAATTCTGTGACCCTAAAGCTTTACATGTGAAACCTCTCTCCTGTATTTAGTTATCATTTTCAAAGTGTTATAAGCACATAATTGATCCAAGCAGCACAAACATGTCACAACATCTGTAAAATAAGTATTTAACAGTAACTCTTTCGTTTTGGAAAATCATGTCAGTGGGTCGGGAGAGACTTTTTATGTAAGTGTGCATGACTATGCTCCTTTGCTAGAATGAGGCAATGCTCGGGCCAGTTCTGCTCCTATCTGTGTTTTAACCAGGATGGCACTGGGCACCTTGTTAACATAAATAAATAGACAGGAAGGAAACAATGTTGTCAGGGCCATGCCTCTCGTGCTTCCAACTCCTTCCAGGATACTGTGAATGCAAAACCATATAGCAATCTACCATTCATTTTTAATGATCTGTTAATGGATACATCTGCCTTCCTTTTTGTTGAAGACAAAGTAGTGTGAACTGCCCGACTTGCAAAAGGCTTTACTAGTCAGCCATTACAGACATCACGCCAAAAAGCCTTTACCGAGTCCTATCGCGTGTCTCTACTAAATCTCTTACTTTTTCACTTGAGAGGCCAAAAGGTATCTCTTTTTACCCAATATACTAAAACTTAAAAAAAAACAAATATTGTAAACTTTGATCGATCTTTGACAATGTGTTTTGAAAATTAAAAAAAAAAAAAAGATTTATTTTAGAGAGGGGAAGGGAGGGAGAAGGCGGGGGAAACACCGAAATGCGGTTGTCTCGCGCTCCCCCTACTGGGGACCCGGGCATGTGTCCTGACTGGGAATCCAACCAGTGACCCTTTCGCTTGCAGGCCAGCACTCAGTCCACTGAGCCACACCAGCCAGGATCCTCGGGACTTTTTTTGGCCCAATTTATGCCTGGTTCCCTTCCCCGGAGGGAGAATGAGGTCACCCATTGTCTACTGGAGGACTGGATGCTATGTTTCTGAGGGTGTCCGAGCTGGCACATACCCATCCCAAGTTCTCACCCTCCTCTGCTCAGCCTGCCCTTCTCTGAGTACACAGGGCAGTGAAGAGAGCCACATGTCGCAGGGTGGCCCAGTGTAGAAACCTGGTTCCCTCCCCAGTATTGCCATCACCAACCATGTTTTGTGGATTTCACTGCCTGCACCCCGTCCTGCCCCTCCACCGCACCCCGCACTGCCCCTGCTCCTCCCTTGCCAGCGTCTCCTGTTTCCCATTCACTTTGCTAAGGCACAGACCCTGATCCCAAGATGGAATTCTTTCCGTCTAAACCTTCTCCCCTCCCCCAGGTTTACACGTCTACAGTTCAGCCACCACATCGCTGCTGCGGCGTGATCTTCTGAAAACTGCTCACCGGCTGGAAGCCTCCACGGACTTGCTGCCCTCCAGTCCTGAAGGTGATGCACAGACCCTAGCCCACCGTCCTCCCCCTCTGCACCCCTCCCTCCACGTGTGTGATTCTCATTCCTGCCCTTGACCGTGGTCTCCCTCCGCCTGGAGTGAGTCCCAGAGAGGCTGGCGGGTTCTGAGCAGTTCCAGTGCTGCCCATCTGGGGGGAGTCTCTTCGGAGCCCACGTACCATCCTTTTGGCCAAGGATGCCCGACCTCCAAAACTTTCCTCCTATACCCCATTTTCTTGAGCCTTCATCTGTCTACCAGTCATCTTGGGGAGCAGGGACCTTGCCTTCTTTCTCTTACATACACGGGGCTGGTGCTGAGTACAGAATGGGACACTCAGTAGTATTTGTGTACAGTTCTGTACAGCTGGGCTGCAGGAAGTCCCGGGGGGAGAGACCTGGCCAGGTTGGACAGTTTGGGAGCACTGCATTGAGGAGGTGGTCCTTGGTCAGAGAACTCAGGGACCTTAGGGTGGCCGTGGTTTGAGGAGTTGGTACGTCACCCTCCTTGTGGTGTTTGGGATCAATCATGTGCTACATCTGGGCAACACCTCTGACTCCAAAAGAAGTTTGGAGAATGACACCTGCGTGGCCCGAGTGAGGTCCTAAGACTCACCCCAGATTTAATCATTTACTGACTTGGTCACAGGCTGCCTGGGACGACTGTAGGTTTCCTGTGGAGGGTACAAATGGGTAGGGAAGGGGGTGGGGCAGCCACCAAAAGAAGGAGTGGTTGGGGGAGGGGCCACACGGGGACTTCATCTGACTTCCCACTTCCAGTGACGTTGGGACTTGTGCTCAGATGTCACTCTGGTGTCTGCCCTCTTCCCTTCACCACCATGAAAGTGGGGAACATCCCTCCTTCCCCAAGGTCCCAGACATCACACACGATGGCGCCCACTTTGGGGCTGGAGGTGTCCCTTCACACACGGCTCCAGTGACCATGGGCTACTTATTGCACAACCTGGCCGGGACCACATCTGGACCTCCGCCAGTGTATGCAGCCTGTGAGCTAAGAAGGAAGGGCTTTCACATTTTTAAAAGGTTGAAGAAATCAAAAGAAGAAGAATGTTTCATCACCACCTGTGACAGTGCCATGAAATTCAGATTCCAGGGTTCAGAAAGTTGGATGGGATCATAGCCTTACTCCCTGGCCTCTACAAGTGACTGAGGTCCTGCCGCTGCTTGGCCTGAAGCAGCCACTGTCTGGCCCTGCTCTGTGAGATTCCAGCTTCTTCTTTTCCCCAAGGCGGTAGCCCATCCCACCTGTGACCCCTTTTCTCTCCTCGAGGGTCCAGGTCCCTTCCTTCCTTTCCCTGACCCCCATTGTGCCTCCAGAATTCCCCCCAGAACGCCCTCATCACCCTCTCTTGGGTGGGGCTGGTGACGGGTGTTGTCCCTTACAGCCTTGGATGAAACCAGAGTATGTTTCTGAATAAAAGAAAAAATTCCATTATCAGCTTCTAATGTAACCTGTTTCTTTTCTCAACGAGTAATATCACAGTCCACGTCCCCAAAGGTTTCAGAAGGGTATCCAGTTAATCATTTACTTCCATGGTTCTTAACAAAACACAACAACAACAAAAAAGAAACGTTTTTTTTTCCCTTTGGGTTTTATTTCTCTATGAGCACATGGGCATGTCTGATACAAGGAAGAGAAATGGCACCTGAAACTATGGAAAAAGCAAATAAAGTATCTCACAAACAGAGATGGTGAGTCTGGAAACAAAAAGCCAACTGTCAAAGTCAGTCGGAAATGCTTAGTGCGAACGAGTCATGCCCCAGTTAATTAGAACAGCAGCAGAAATCAGAATGCATGTCGCAATAAACGCAGACAACCCAACGTGAGAGCAGACCCACTTTTTCACTCTGCGCAGTACCCTGGACAGCATGTTACCTTCCAGTTCTTGCTTTTGCTTTTCAATCTGCGCTTGCACCTGGGTCAGGTAGCTCCAGTGCTCTATCCCAGGGGTGCCGCCCCTGTTTTCCTTGTGCACCTGTGCTTGGATGAAGAGGTCGTTGCTGTAGAAGGCACCCTGGAGCTCCCTCTCCAGGCTCTCGATCACAGCCATCAGCTCCTCCAGCTGCTTCCTCTGCTCCTCCCCAGTGGCCCGGTTGTTGAAGCCATAGTACCTGCCCCCGCACTCGTGGACTAGGATCCGCAGGTTGAAGTTGTCTGTGTTGGCTACGTACTCATTCAAGGACTCGTGCCCTAAGTCCTCCTTGTGGGTGAAGAGGATCACTACATGTCTCATGACGCCTGCCCCAAAGACCTCTTTCACCCTCCTCATTGCCACCATGTCCTGGTCAGTGTAGCGGCCTAGCTGCGTCACCAGCAGCAGGACGTGGGGCCCTGGGGCTGAGAGCAGGTAGCAGTCCCCGATGTCCTTGTACATCTCTTGGTTCTGGGCCTTTGCCTCAAAGATGGAGGGAGTGTCAACCACCAGGATGTTCCTCCCATTCCATGTGACCGTGCCCTTCTGGCATTTTCTGGTCACTGCCTGGGCTGACATCCTGGACTCGAACTTGGGCTGGCAGAGGATGCTGTTCCCAGTGGCACTTTTCCCACAGCCGGATCTGCCCACCAGGATGAGCCTCAGTGAGGATGATGATTCCGACTCATTATCTTTCGCTATGCCTGGAAAAAAAATGGAGTCCTGCTAAGCTAGTGATGCTTAAGATGTGTTGGTCATGGACTCTCATGGGATCTCGTAAAAAACACAGACCTTTGTTCCAGGAAAACAGTGCTATCTAAATACATACAAAGGTATGTCGATGACTTTAGGAGGTGCTTGGTCAGAGGAAGTCCACCTAGGAAGCCTGCGTGGCAGCCGTACCCAAGGGGAAGAATGGCTACCCTGAGAGGGACACTCCAAGCCTTCATCAAGACCAAGGAAAAGAATTTTTCTGAAAGACAAGTGGCCCCTGTGTTTTTTCAGGATGGTACCCAGGCCGGTTTCATGGTAAATAAATGTGAGATTAGAGGGAGGCAGAGGGTAAGTCACAGAGGGGAAAATATTACCACCTGTGTTCCACCCACAAACTCCTAGTCATGTCTGCACAGAGTGCTCAACACATTCACCTAGACCTTGGGAGGAGCGGAAGTGTCAGATGTGACCTTCCACCGAGGACCAGCCGAGGGTCCCAGGTCTCTGCTCTTTGGGTCGGGAGTCGGATGCTTGAAATTGAGACAACAGAAATGAGAGGGAGAGGAGCCGGGGTAGGCGGCTGAAGAGGAGTGGAATGTAAGACCACCAGAAGTATATGCGTTGGAGAAATCATTTACTCCGCTGAGTGAACCATAGGAAGTTAACAAAGACTGAGACGGAACTCGGAGCCAGGAGCTAGGACCTTTGAGGGACCAAGGAGGGTGAGAACACAAGGAGTTCTGGTGAGCCAGAATGAATTCCAAGTTCATCGCAGGCCCCTAGAATCTATTGTTTGTCTTCTGCTCTGGGTTGATTCTTCCTTTCCCCGAGTGACCTGGGATGTTTTGTAGCAAACAGCACAACTAAGTCTCTCTGGGGGAACTTCCCATGTTTCATCTGAGGGTGGACCAGGAAAGAGAAACTTTATTCACAATTCAGTTCAAAATTCTTCTAACGTGTGATTGGAGTTTCATTTCCACATTTTCCCACACAGCACAGCATCGTAAGAGGGGGTCGGTGGGGTGGGGGTGTGATGATGGGGGAGGTAAAGAACAAATGAGCTCTGTCTTTTCCTCCTGCAGTGTAAAATACAGTGCTTCCATCACTGTTTTTGAGGTGAGGGGCCGGAGCCTCTTAGGAACTCGGGGGCTAGCTTACCTTCAGCCATAGTTCCGTATGTGCCCTTCAGCAGTCCTTCCATTCTCTTCTGGAATAAAATCAGAAAAAGAATAAAAAGCAAGTGTCCACATAAGAGTTGGTAAGGCCTGAGGACACCTCCAGTTGGGGCTCCTAAGACTAATTCTCCACGGAGCAGCCATTTCCATGGCTGATTTCCTGACTCACGTTGATTCTGAAAGTGTCTATAAATAACGTCCAGCAAAGCGGGGGATACAATGCCACGCACACGGTTGCTTTGTTTCCTCAGTTTACAGGAAATCAGGAACCGTGTTAAAACATATCACTTACTTACCATTCCCTTTAACTGGAAAAGGATGTCATCCAAGGACACTGGCTCTAGCAACTTTGTCGTCAGCCCCTGAACAGTCGGTGGAGAGGAGGAGGTGTTGTGACCAAAGAGAAAGAGTCAACATTTTGGAAAGATTCCAGAGAGACGCTGGACAGTGTGATTCACAGTGTGATTCCCCCAATCACTGGACAGGATTCCCTGACCAGTGTGGCTCAGTAGGGCGGTGGTGTCATGCAAAGCAAGAGGTCAACAGTTCTATCTTCCGTCAGTGCGCATGCCTGGGTTGCAGGTTCAGTCTTTGCGTGTGAGAGGCAGCCGGTCAGCACTTCTCTCACACACTGATGTTCCCATCTCCTGCTCCCTCCCTTCCCCTCTCTCTAAAATTAAATAAATAAAGTCTTGATCAACCCTCTGAAATTCAGGAGAGGCTCACTTCTTGCTCAGTGTTTCATCAACTGTTTCTCCTGGCCGGCTCCCAGGGTGTCCCCTGCTGTTTTGTAATCTAGGAGATGTAAACAGAAGTGGGCACCACCATGGGCATCAATTGGCATACGTGTTTCAGTCCAGTGAGGTGCAATATTGTGTTCCCCATCTTGGGGTCGGAAAGGCCAGTATGTGACATCCAGCTCTGCCTCAGACCAGACTGTATTTACTTATCGTTTTACTATTATGCAGTTATGAAACGCAGTTTTTAGGTGAAGAAACACACCGAGTTATAAAACAAAAGCCTACCGTGAAAAGTGAACAAATGTAAGTATTTTGACATTCTTCCTGCAGGTCTCCTGTTTGATGCAACGTTAAAGCATTACGCATGGAGTCCCGTGGCTGGTGTTTGACACCCCCCCCCCCCGCCCCAGGCTCTTTCTCCCTCCCTCTTCCCTTCGGAGGCAACTGACAGTCAGAGGCTTTGATTTACCGTTCTAGGGGTGTATATCCACTTCCACATACACATGCATGTACAGGTAAAATCTACTACTGTTTTTGCACATAAAGACATGATTTGTCTTTTAATCCACTTAATCCAATGACTTATTAATACAACTTTAAGGTGTTTCAAAATACATGCTTGCTGCAAAAGAATCTCCACAGACTGTATGTCTCTGGGCACATGCACAGCAATTTATCTCAGATGGCCAGCTCCCACCTGACTGGATGTTGCCCACCTGACTCCGAGAGCACTGTGCTAATCCTCACTGGTGGGGGCCAAGTGTGAGAGTTCCCCAAATCTTCACTTGAACTTGTTGATATTCAACTTGTAATTTTTCAATCGCTCTTATGAGCATACATAAGGATGACTTCCACTTGGATTGCACTGATTACCACTGAATTCAAAAATAGTTTTCATAGCTTGTTTGCTATTCAGGTCGCTTCTGTTGTACAGAAATAACATTTGCATGTTTTCGGCCCCACTTAGAAAAACCATCCATTTTCACATTATCAGAATATACTACGGCAGCTTCCTTCCTTCGTCCTTTCCCTTTTCCTTCCCTGCTTCCCACGCACCCTCCCTTCCTGTCCCGAAGCCTACAGAGGAGCATCCCCTCACCCCCTCTCCCTTACACGGTCCTTGTCCCTGGGAAATTATACTCTGCCTCTTGCTAAACCTGCACAAATTCTCTCACTGCCTTAGATAACCTTTGGTGAAGTTTGAAAACCTCAGGAAATATGTTGGAATCAACCTAACCATGTGGTCAAGATGATGATGAGAGCAGTGACCATGATGACGGTGAACCACACTGCCATACGAATCTTCTGTGTGGCCATTTATAAACTTTCTAAGTTCTCTCATGCCCATTCGTTATTTTAATGGTTCTCCTCAATTAAGATAAGTTTTAAAATTTTCATTAACATGTTAGGAAACTGAGCAACGAATGACCCACCCAAGGCCACACAATTGCCAAGGAGCTGAGACCAAAAAGCAGCTCCTTTTGCCTGTGTATTCTCCCAGACTCCACGGGAGAAAAAAGATTATTTCACGTAAGTCTGCAGCCTCTTAGACCCGACATGTGACGTAGCTATCCACGGTCAGGACCTAAAGTGACCCTGACAGGCTGGAAGCCTGCCCTGAAACCAATAGGCAATCACATTGAAAAATCTGGAGTGAATGTTTTTTCCAAGAAAAGACGATTCAAAGAGAAAACTGCAGGGGGCAGGCGTTGCTTTGAGTTGAAGCTGTTCAGGGTAAAACAAGCAACCTGGGGTTTTTCTGACTTGGTTACTGCCACGTCCTCTTCCAACCATGTTGTCTGACAAGGTCCGGGCACGGAGGAGTCGAGTTCAAGGAATTTGTCTCCCCGGAGGAGAATGTGGCATCCAAATGGGTTAACAATTGGCTGTTTTATTTTAATATTTTACTCTTGCTACTGAATATAGACATTGTACTGTACTTACTTATTCCTGTGAAAATCACCCAAGAGGAAGGGACAGTTCAGGGGAAAACATTAGTATTCCCCACGGAACTGCCTGAAAGGGTGGAAAAATCCCCACAGACTCCCCTCTCCCTTGTACAGGGGAGTACGACAGCCGGGGTGATATAATTGTTAACCATAAGGGAAAACATGTCAAGTTGTATAAATTACCCCGGTTTGAGCAACTTAAAGCGATCAGGACCGCCATGGTGTACCAGAAATAAGAAAAACAAGTTAGATCTCTTAAATCAATAGTTAAGGCCAGTTTATAAAGAACCAGGTTATTGTTGCAAACACAGGTTGTGCTGCCAACAGTTGAGGGAATGGAAGAACAGATTAGAAAGACTTTCCCATGACTGTTCCCTACCCACAGATACAAAGGGTCTTCCAAGAAGACAAGTAAAAACTATATAGACCCCGACCCACAGTCCAGGGATACGGTCGGGACGGTTGAGATGCATCTGCAAGGCAGAGGCACCTGTGGCTGGATTTCCTGTTTATCTCTCCTTACATGTTTGTTTGGGTGATCAAAAGGTGGTGGGATTGTTAGACACTTGTATTTCAGGTTCATTGATTAACATAATTCCAATGAAGTTGTACAAAATAATATCTTGACCAGAGAACAAAATCCCCTCCAATGAAATAGCTCCTGAATGTCTAAAAGTTGTTGGAGTAACAGCCTCTCCTTTACCTTGAATAAGAATATATATCAATTAGACAGGCAAAGAAATAGCTATTACGAACTAAGTACGTAGAAACAGGTACTAGGGAGTCAGTTCATAGTACACAGAGAAACATTTTAGACAGAAGGATAGATAGCTAAGTTAGACATCACAAAGGCCTTATAATGAATTTCTTAACCTCTGCTCGGTCTAGCGTACCTTTTGCCCCATGCCAAATTCTAAGACCTTTAATAACCAATAAAACATTCAAACTCTGTACACAGAGCTATTTCAAATTGTCTGATTAATGGCTCTCCTGGTCAAAACAACTTTTGTTTAACATAACTTATACTATGGAAATTCTTGTATTTTTCCTGGTTAACTTTGTATTGATTTTTTTGCCTCACTGATCATGCTATGCTAATCACTACCTAAAATGAAAATATAAAAACCTGCTTGTACTTGCAATAAACGGAACAGAGCTTCACTGTCCTTTGAGGCGTGTTGTCGTCTGTTACCCATCGCCAACTCCTTACCCACCTTTGGGAATCCCTGGACCCTGCTGCGGCTGGGCTGCGGCAGGTGACGAGCGTGACCCAAGTGGAACAAGGTGCCTGTCACAGAAAGCCAGTCCAACTTGGGTCACGTTTGTGGAGACTCGGTACAGTGGTTCTCCTGGGGCCACCTTTGGAATGTGGCCGGTGGCAGGGGGAGACGTGGGCGCCACAGAGGAATGGGCGTCCAGGCAGATACGAACCGATAACCCAGTGTCCGGCAAGAGTCAGAAAGGATATTGGTGGAGATGCTAAAATGAGTCACGAAACATTAACAGGGCTGAATGAATAGAGCCGAGACGTGGGACATGTCCACGCTGGGGCAGCCCAAAGCATGAGGACAGAGAATGGAGGCAGACTCTTTCTCTAAAAGGAAAATTCTACTAAGCTTTTCCCAGCCGGGGCAGGCTGTCCCAGGAGAGCAGCAGGCAGCTGGCCAGCAGGGATTAAAACAGTGTTGACGGGGACAGCAGGAGGGCGTGGTTCAGGCAGGTGGTTGAAGGAAATGAACATCAGGTACCTTCTGACTTTAAAATCGCACGCACCTGACTCCATCCTGATGCTACCTTATTTTATTACGCCGGGACAAACCGGGCTCTCCCGTGCTGTTTTTAGGGACGCCAAACTGTTTCTTGTCTGCTTTGTTCATTAAATGTCTCCTCCACTCACTGCCACGGGCACGTGTTTCCTGGTTTTCAAACTCCTTGTCTTGTAGGTTAGTTCTCGTGATTTCTGGGTGCCTCTCACACACGGCCCAGCCGACCAAGGGGTTGCTCAATGTGCCTTGAGCATAAGTCTGTTTGCCATACAGCTGCCTCCTCCATGGTGCCGGAGGGAAGGAGTGGGGTGTTTGGGGAAGTGGTTTGGGAAGGTCAAGGTCATGAGACAACCTGTACTCAGGGGTCTCCTGTGGAAAACGTAGCTTGCTGGGGGTGGGCTTAAGAAGTTAAGAGAGTAAACTGACCTAGGCCCCCGCATCTGGGGAGGTTCAGTTTCCTTATCTGTCAGGCGGATTGAGACTCTGCGTCCAGCTTCACGGAACCCTGCTAGTCCCCATGAAGACCCAGGGGGCAAAGCTGTAGACAATTAGGCGGAAAGCTAAGGAGTGTAACGAGCTGTGGGCGCCAGGCGAGTGGTTCCCACTCCTGCTTCCCCCACTATCAGCCCCCTGTGGCCCGTAACGTCACTGCCAGCTTTCCCTTTCTCCAATGGGTGAGCTCAGAAGTAGTGGGACCGGGCTGAGATCAGTGGCTGTGACTAGGCTGTGGGCTCTCAAGCCCTCATGGCGCTGCGACTCCCCCCCTCCCCCGCCACCACGCCCCGGAGCCCCTTACCTGGGGAGGGGCTGCGGGCCGGCGCAGTGCTCGGCGGCCGCTGGGACGTGAGCTGTGAGCGCACAGGAAGCAGGTGGATGCAATTAAAGAGGAGCTGCTCAGAGGTCGAAAGTTCCAGAGCGAGGCTGCAAGGAACTGAGAAGAAATGGGAGTGCCGAGCCCGCCCCGCCTCCCCGCCTACAGGAAAAGGTCCCGGGGCGGGCGGCCCAGAGACCAGGGAGGGTGCGGTGAGCTGTTGGTCCGTGTAATGGGACGCTTCCTGTCACAGCTTGCGGGCTGCCAGGCTCCCTCCCATTTCTTTTTTATAACTTATCAAGATAAGCAGCAGTTGCAGGAAGAGGCTCTGTAGGCTGTGACGTGGCCCCCCCCGCCCCGTGCGGCCAGGTTCAGAGGCAGACCTTGAGACACAGAAAAGCCCTTTGGGGGCACCAGCCACCCTCTGCAGGAGCAGCTGCCCAGCCCTACACCCCAGGGCCCTTCTCAAGGCTCTGTTTCTGGAATGTTCCCTCTAACTAGGGATGGGGAGGTGCTGCTGGTCCACCGAGGGCTTGGAAGACCAACTCCGAGGGCATGCCTTGGATGGGCTCCCCTTCTCTGGCTGCCCCTTCTCTGCCATCGGACAGACCAGCCCTATGAGGCTTCAGGGAACCAGCGCGTTCTGTGTCCGTTTATTCTGAGGCAGGTGGAGCAGGCAGGTGGTTTCACTATTTGTCAACTGTTGGCACATTTAAGGCTGAGGCAGCAAACATAAGATGGTTAGGCAGCGGAGCAAGATGGGCGTACAATATGGGTTACGGCTCCCTCAGTCTCTCCGTGAATTCTAATAGTTTTCTTTGGTTTATCTGTAGATCAAGGAAGCTCTACTTTTAAGTGGTGGCACTGTTTTAGCCTGATTATTAAACAAATTGATTTTTAGCATCAAACCACCCCATTTACATAAGCGTGGTTAGTGGGTCTAACCTTGAACCCAGTGGGTACAAGTCCTTTAAGCCACAGCCTAGAAGAACACTTTTCTGGGTGGAAAGGTAGATGGCAGCTGCTTTATAGAAGAAGAAACCAGTGCTAGAAAATTCAGAACTAGGAAACTAGGATAAAGAGAGGGTATGGGAAAGCCAAGGTCACCGTGCATTTCCCAAACGTCTGATGGTCCCTGGCATTTCACATGCCAGGCACTGTATTGGATCATGGGGACACAGGTAAAAAGGTCAGACTCAAAGTGTCTGAAAAAGGAAATCACTAAAGAAATGCCGTTGATAACCCCTGGACACAGAGCAGTGTGGTGACGGCTGGAGGCAGGCCAGGGTGGGGGGAGGTGGGGACATCTGGAATAGAGAAATGCTATCGACCACAAGGAAAAACTGTCAAACCTCTCTGATAATGTGATTCAAATTGTTGACAGCACATTCTGAGAATCAGATTGGGGATGTCAGATGACATCCAGTCCCTCTCTTTGTATTTTACACAAACACCTGCCACCATCATTGGAATACTGATGGTGATAATTGTCAGGCACCCGAACCCGAGTCTTCTCCTCAGGCCAGCTGACAACCCACTGGGGATTCCGTGCTATTCTTTGTCCAGTCATAGCCTATTCCGGCAGCCGTCTGGGAAGCCTCAGTTGGCAAACGCCTAAACATCGCCAGGAAAGTTTGAACTACTCAACAAGGGAAACAGACAAGTGTTCTGGTCACCTTTGCTTTGTGAAGTCTACTAAAGATACATGAACTCTCCAGAGCAAAAGTACTGGTACACTTAGTCTTGCCACTTTTGACTACTTGGAGTTATTTAAAAATCTTATTTTGCAAAGATGTTTTCAATGGAACTTGACCTCCGAGGCCCGTGGATCTTTGTAGACCTGACGTGGTGTATCAGTCAAGGTGAGACCCCAGGAGGGCCGTTTAGGAAGGTGTCGTTTGACATGCTCTGGGATCCAGTTAATTCAACACGACTGTGTTCATGGCATTACACTCGCAGCTACTCCATTAGAAAGTGTCTTAGTTTGAAAAGTATAAAATATTTAAAATTATGCCATTTTCTTTTGGAACTGATCAGAATATATGTCGGCAGAGTGATGTAACCATATTCTCAAAAATTAAGTTATGATATTTGAGGACATACATATACATTGTACAAAATGGATGAGCAGGTGAGTGAAGAAGCAGTTTACATCCAATGGGAAGCTTGGTCTGGTGAACATGCCCAGGGGGGCCAGTATGGAAAAAAGATGCTCCACCTCTGATGTTGTCACCTTCGGTCCTCAGGAAATCCCTTAACTCACAGTAGATTATTTTCCTCTTCAAATCAAAGGAAGTTGATGATAATTCTCCCTTGTACTTCATGAGCTTGTTGTCACCATAAGCTATTAAAAACTTTCTGTCTGTCCATTGCCGGCCCTGCCCTGGGCCCCTCAATGTGGTCAAAGGAACCCCTCCCAGGTTCTGAGGCCTGACATGGCCGCTGAGGAGGCTAAAAGCATGAACTGACACTGGATGTTTTCCCAGGCATGCTTCATGAAGCCCAACTCTGCAAAGGCCACTACGGCCCTCAGGTCCCCTGGTACAGCCCACCCTAACCCGCCAGCCCATCCAGAGCCTCCGGGAGCCCTTAACCCCTGCGCCCTTGAACCGTATGCCCATAATTCCAGCCTCTGTGTGGCTGGTATAAAGACAATGATTTCCTTTAAAAGCATCCTGTCACATTCAGAAATACAAATAAGATAATCCTATTTATTGTTTACACAACCTAAGGATGTCATCTGGTTTTCTTTTTTCCCCTTTTTTCTTTTATTTTATTTAATTATTGTTCAAGTACAGTTTTCTGTCTTTACTCCCATCCCAGCCCACTCCCCCGTGCTCCCCACCTCCCTCTCATTTCCACCCCCCTTTGCTGTTGTCCCTGTGTCCTTTATACTAGTTCCTCTAAATCCCTCCCCTTTCTCCCCTGAAATTCCCTCCCCTCTCCCCTCTGGTTGATGTCCCCTGTTCTCTGTTTCAGTGTCTTTGTTTTTATTTTGCTTGCCTGTTTGTTTTGTTGGTTAGCTTCCTGTTAAAGGTGAGATCATATGGTATTTGTCTTTCAACACCTGGCTTATTTCTTTCAGCATGATGCTTTCCAGTTCTATCCATGCTGTTGCAAAGGGTAGTAGCTCCTTCTTTCTCTCTGCTGCATAGAATTCCATTGTGTATATGTCCATAATTTTTTTATCTATTCATTTACTGATGGGCACCTAGGTTGCTTCCAGCTCTTGGCTATTGTAAATTGTGCTGCTACGAACATTGGTCACTTCAAATACTCAAGGGAAGAATCCACCAAGAAGACATTAACATCATAAATATATATGTACCAAACACAGGAGCACCCAAATATATTAAGAAAATCTTAGAGGACTTCAAGAAAGATATTGACAGCAACACAATTATAGTTGGGGATTTTAACATCCCACTGTCAAAAATGGACAGATCTTCCAAACAAAATATCAACAAAGATATTGTGGCATTAAATAACGCCCTAGATGAAATGAACTTAACTGATATATATAGAGCCCTTCATCCCAAAGAAGCTAAATACACATTCTTTTCAAATGCACATAGAACATTTTCAAAGATAGACCACATGATAGGATACAAAACAAGCCTCAACAAATTCAAGAATATTGAAATCATACCAAGCATTTTCTCTGATTACAAGGGACTGAAATTGGAAACCAACCCCAAAGGAAAAAACCCAAAACACCCAAAATCATGGAGACTGAATGATATGCTATTAAACAACGAATGGGTCAAGAATAAAATTAGGGAAGATATCAAAAAGTTTCTGGAAACAAATGAAAATGAACTTATAACAACCCAAAACTTATGGGACACATCGAAGGCAGTCCTGAGAGAGAAGTTCATAGCAATACAGGCTCATCTAAAGAAGATAAAAATATTTCAAACAAACAACCTAACCCTACACCTGCAAGAGCTTGAGGAACAACAACAAAGACAGCCCAGAGCAAGTAGAAGGAAGGAAATAACCAAGATCAGAACAGAATTAAATGACATAGAAACTAAAATGACAATTCTAAGGATCAATGAATCCAGGAGTTGGTTTTTTAAAAGATAAACAAAATAGACAAGCCTTTAAGTAGGCTCATCAAGAAAAGAAGAGAGAGGACACAAATAAACACAATCAGAAATGAAAGAGGAGAGATTACAACTGACACCACAGAAATAGAAGGGATTGTAAGAAATTACTATGAAGAACTGTATGCCAAGAAATTTGAAAACCTAGGGGAAATGGACAAATTTCTAGAAAAATATAATCTCCCAAAGCTCAATGAAAAAGAAGCAGAAAACCTGAACAGATCATCTGGTTTTCTAATGGTGGCTTTGAACAGCTTTTGTGGGCTGGCCCGGCCTCCATCACACCCAATGGTACAACCACATGGGCCTCACCTCGGTGCCCTGCAGCTTCTGCCAAAGCACCAGCTGCTCTCTCACTTCTCCAAGGGCAGCAAGGAGAGCGCTCTCTCTCTCTCTCTCTCTCTCTCTCTCTCTCTCTCTATATATATATATATATATATATATATATATATATATATATATACCCAGATAGAAGACATTACCTGTGGTTTTCCCCAAATCCTACTTCATTTTGGAAAGACACAAACCATAATGCATGCCGGAAAACTGGAAACTTACAGACTTTCAGTACAGTTCATTTAGCCCTGACATCCCTGTCATAGATGGTAACAAAACTCTACAAGGATCACAAAGGGAGACTCCTACCCTCTGTGAGAACTAGAAGGTGTTAAGGTGGGTCAGCGTCAGCGGTGGTCTGAATGTCAGTGGCCCCCCAAAACCCAACATTGAAAACCCGCTGCCCAAGGGGATGGTGTGAGGAGGTGCACCATGGAGAGGTCCCTCACGCTGGAGCTCAGGGCCCCTATAAAGGTGCCCTGAGGACTGGCTCTTCCTTCCACCACTGGGGGGGGGGGGCACAATGGGAAACTATCCATCTGCAGCCCTAGTTGAGCCTCCCCTGAACCTACCACTGGGGGCCACCTGTTGCTGGACTCCGCCTGCCAGGGCATGAAAGACAAATTTCTATTGTCTATCAGCTCCTAGTCTGTGGTATTATTTCTTAGAAACCCCAATGGACTAAGAAAGTGTTATCATTTTAAAAATATTTCTTAATTGATTTT